TCTCTCTCTCTCTCTCTCTCTCTCTCTCTCTCTCTCTCTCTCTCTCTATTTTTGCAAGTGAAAATGTCTCGATTCTTTTTTTTCTTCTCACAATTTCGTTGTTGTTTTGATGATTGTTGTCGTCGAAATCAAAAATGACGACGAATCGATGACTTTGACTTGACGTATTTGTAGCCATTGAATGTTTGGAATTCGTCGTAAACTTACTACTTTGGAGAACATACAAAAAAAAATACATAATGACAACATACACACATCGCGTATTTTAAATTGGCTAAGTACTCACCAAGCGGCAAAAAAAGTTATATTAAAAAAAATAAAATAAATTAATACAATCAAGACATTGTTTTTGTTTGGTGGCTGTCGCTAGCGGCGAGACAATATTTCTGATTGAAACTTCAAAGGCAAACAAAATTTTGTTGAATTTTTTTTTATCGTTTCGTTCGAGTAGTTTTTTCGCTTCTTTATTGAATCACCTTCGATAGAAAATATATAAAATTGAGCTGTTGAGTATGGCAAACGTTCAAATCTAGTGAGATGTAATTCTTGATTTAAAACTTCATTTTTTCTCGCTATCTCTCTGTGTCTCTCTCTGTTCCTCTTTGTCTGTCTCCTTCTTTATTTGCAATCAATTTTCATTGCAGAACAGATCAATTCAAACACAAATTGAATCACACAGCGCCAGTACATCGGCCTTAATAGATGCGAGATGTTTTTTCCCTCGCATTTTTTGTGTCATTTTCTTTCTTTCAAATGTTGCTCTTTCAATTGAATTCAAACGATGAGCGTGTGTATATTACACAGTGAACCGTTGAGCTTCAAAGTGAAAGGTAACAGACTGACCCATTGACAAATTAATATTGATCTTCTATTGAATACAAAAAAAAAATATTTGCCTCATAGCAAACGATAGCTGATTATTATACAACTATTTTTGCATGGACACATTATGAAAGTCTGCAGATTTTACTTAGACTTCTCTTTGGGTCGATTTCTTTTGCTTCTCTCTCTCTCTCTCTCTCTCTCTCTTTCTCTCTCTCTCTCTCTCTATCTCTCTATCTCTCATTCACTCCCCGTTTCGATTATTGTGTTGATTGCCACATAACATAATTGCAATAAAAAAAAGCGAAATATGAGCTTTGAACGAGCACCTTTTCTGTTTTGATACTCTTTTTTTTCGTTTGTTTTCGTGTGTGTCAATTTCTTCTTGGCTTTTCTTGATATTTTGTGTGTGGTATGCTGTACACAGCTCCATTGAACGCTATGTAAATTGGCAATTTTTGTAATGTATGTAAAGTAGAATAACCGAATGAGAAAGGAAACGTGCACCAAAACGAGACAAAATGCAAGAATTCAAGTGTAACAACGACGAAAACACAGAGAGAAAAAAAACTCCATTGACTTAGTTTGCGTGCGCGCACAACGCTTTGGAAAAAAAATCACTGCCATTCAAAAAAACCGGCTAAAGCAATCATTTTTAATATCCGCTCAATAAAAATGATCTAATAAAATTGATCGTCAGAAATCTGAAAACTAATATAGATAATTAATTATAAGGCTGTTGAAGGGGATCAAATTGATGTTAAATTTTCTACATGCACAATGATCAAGAAGTTCTAAGCTCGTAATTATGTTTTAGTATACACTTTTTGTTTCGTGTTCGTCAACATCAAAGCATCGATGGAATAAGGTCTAAAAATGATGTTAATTAATACTAAGACCTTTTGGTCCATTGTTTCTATCGAATTGAAACTCATTTGCTTGAAATAAAACTAAACAAAAAAAGACAGTCTTTCACATTTAATAAAACCCATTTGATTTTCTCTATCTCTCTCTCTCTCTCTCTCTCTCTCTCTATGTCTTCCATCTTCTTCATCTTGCCAATTATCCGTCAAACTGTGCAAAAAACCAACTGTTCATTATCGATACGATAGAGCCAAATATACATGCGCATGTTGAAAATCAAATTTGCCGTTTCCAATCCGACATCACTGAGCCGAGAGAGGGCAAGAGTATTGACGAAACAACAACATCAACAGCAGCAGCAGCAGCAGCCGCAGCAGCAACCACACAATTCAAAACATGAAAAATCCGAAATTATTACCGCCCAATATAACAACACGGGTAAGTTGTTGTAACGTTTCATTTGTTTTTAGCTTTCAATCGAGAATATCATCGACCTACACACATCGGCCATATAATTTATACGATGTTTGTTCAATTCATGTTTATTTTTTCTGTTATCGCTTTCCGTGGCGCATTTGCATATACAACCACAATGTACTACATTCTGCCCTAATGAACGGTGATAATCATCAATTGGCAAAAAAAATTGGGCGAAATCCATTTGCTTGGCGTGCGCCCGATATGTTTATGATAACTTGGCTTCGTTTTGGCCGTGCAAAAAAAAAAACAAAAAAAAATCGTACGCACGAACACACACACACACACTAAATGCAAATAAACAACAGGTGCTGTTGGTGTTTCCAAAAAATGATGATGTTTGCGATATTCTTCAAGATGCGTGCAGTCGACTCGAAATGGACACATTTCTATCACTAACATTACCCGAAGCAATTGAATCGTTTCAAAATATTACGAATGGTGGACATAATTTGATTATCGTTGACGGTCGGCTACCACAGATTCTTGATCCAGAAACTGTAGCTCGGTATGTTTTGTTTGTCTTTTTGCGCTCTCTCTTCTGCTTTTGATTCATTGATCGTTGGGTTTATATTCGAACACGCTTCAAATTTGCGCAAATACAATTTTGAAATGGATTAAGAAAAAGCAGAGAGTGTGTATTTGCTGCTGAGTACGCCTGAGCTGAGCTAAATTTGCTAACTCAGGTGCCTTAAGCGTTATTTTAGCGCATTCACGGTGGGAAGATACGTGGATATTTGATATTGGTGATATCATCTCACCGTGAATGCGTTAAAATAATGCTTTAGGCGCCTGAGTTAGCAAATTTAGCTCAGTTCAGGCCTATTCAGCAGCAAATACACCATCTCTGAGAAAAAGTTTTGGTTAATTATTTAATTGCATGAAAACATTGATCTCTTGTAACTTGCCAATTGATGGCAGAACACATTCTGGTGTGGAAATTCTTGTTTCTTTCGTGGAATGCATATTCAAGCGAGAGATCTCGATCATTCACACTGGATATTTTATATGATACGGGAGAGAAAAACAAGACCGCAGATCGTCGCTTCACTCCACTCTGCGTTCTTGAAGCTTGTAAATTCAAGGGGTTTAATTAATTTGATGTTTCACATCAAATTATTATCGTAAGCACTACATGGAATGTAGATTTAATGATAGTACACTTTTTGTTCAACGAACGTAATATTTTCTGAAGACGACAAAGTTAACTGGGTGATGTTGGAAATGTCTGTTTCACAAGTTTTTGTTATAAATCATTATAATATTGTTAACAATAATTGAAAAAAATTATATGATAAAATTGTATTCTTCAATTATTGTTTTAATGTACGTTCAATGTGAACGGTCATCATACATTATTTCACATTGGCAACGAAAAAATTGTCAAATTGTTTTTTTTTTTGAGTTATCCCATAATTGAATTACGTTTACATGATATTATTTCATTTTTGCAATTAGGCGTAATTGCTTCATTTGAATTAAAAAATATGGATATTAAAATGAATTAGTTTACGGTCCAAAAAAATGGCCTAAAGAGGCTTAAAAATTTCTCGTAAAAAAAATCACTACTGTAGCCTACATTCTATGTAGTGCTAAAAAGTGGTTTCATCAACGTTTTCATTTTGAAATGTCTCAAAAAAATTTGACAATTTTTTCGTTG